AAAGAGACTACGGACTTTTAAGTGTTTGGATTTTTTTAAGGACTGTGGGGTTTTTAAGGTTGTACTGTCTTATGTTGTGATATTAACATCATATCTTGGGGACAGAAATTGGAAAGTTATGGTTTAATAGTGATGTTTGTGTGTCAGTTGACAAGGGGGCAGTTGTGCTGGATAGCTTTAGTGTCAACTTGACACAGCTGGGTTGAGGGAGCCTCAATTGGGGAATTTCCTCTATTGGACTGGCCTGTGGCCATGTCTGAGGGTCATCTTCTTGATGAGTTGTGTGGGAGGACCCAGCCCACTGTTGGTGGTGCCTGTGTTGCATAAGAAAGCAGGCTGAGCAGGGGCTTCAGGAGCAAGCCAGTAAGCAGAGTTCTTCCATGGCCTGTGCTCCAGCTCCTGCGTCCAGGTTTCTGTCCTGAGTTCCTGCCTTGGGCTCCCTGATGAACTGTGACCCAGGAGATTAAGATAAATAAACCCTTTCCTCCCCAAGTTGGTAATGGTCAGAGTGTTTTGCCACAGCAATGGAGAGAACAAACTAGGACAGAGACTGAGTAGGAAATTAGTCAAAGAGGAATATATTATAGTCTTAACTCTCTTGATGTTTTTAAAAAAGCATTTTCCACCCCTGTCTCTCACCTATACCGTTTTGATCATCAAATCCTTATAATGTAACTGTACTTAAGAGACCACTAGCTTTCACCATCTAAATGCTAAGACTGTTGGTCATCAGACAGCAACTGAAAGCACAGTGGAGTTTCCTCACTTTGCTGTAACCCACCTACCTGTTGCCCCCACCACGAAGTTAGGTAAATATTCTGATTTATGACTTATTGTTTTGTAGCAAATAAAATGTCTCATAAAGACTTCCACAGTAGAACGTGCTATTTGGGGAAACCTAAATACATGTTCCTGGATCATGGTCACTGACATTTAACTCCAGAATAAACTATTACTCCCTTTGAAGTGAGAATGGTGTATTTGCCTTGACAGAAGCCTAAGACCCACAAAACAGAGGACATCAGTGGATGCTCTCATGCACTATAGGAAACTCTACTGGAAATCAGAGATGGATTGGTTAGTAGAGGCCAGGGTAGTTCAGAGTCTGTATAGTATAGGGATATGGGTCTCTTCTTTAGTGGTGAATGGTAAAAAAGACTTCAGGAGAGCCATGCTGGACAGCAGTTGTGGGAAAAGCAAAAGTAAAAGAGAAACAGCAGGAATGAGTCCACAGTGTCCAGAGTTTAGGAGAAACCTGGTTAAGGAGATCTGGGCTTAGAGGAGAGGTGGGGTACCCCATGGAATTCTCTTCTGGTTCTATAATTCAGATCTCTGTCCAGCTGGCATTTTCTCAGAGAGAACGTGGAGCCAGAAGGAGGCCCATTTCTTCACCACAACTACAAGTTATTCCCTTGGGCAGCACTTGCTGGAAGAAGGTGTTGGGGTAATCCAGTGTGCAATGAAGTGCCCTTGAGGAAGTGTGATGTCATTGGAGAGATTCCAAGGGAGTTCCAGTCCTTACCTCCACTAACTCATTTCCTTCATGTGGCATGTGTATAAATATCTGGGAGCTGCTCAGGCTGAGGAAGACTCCTAGGAGACCAGAAGTAGCAGCCCTTCCTGAAGTCAGGTAAGAGAACTTCTCAATAGTTCTGGGGATCAGCCCAGTCTACCCAATCATTTACCCAGAGGTGTTGAGGATCATGTCTAAAGGAAGATTTTTTCAAGAGGATGAAATCTCTTAAAGCACCAGGAATTGCTGTGGTTGTCTTTGTACTCAGTCTATAGCACAGCATGCAGACTGTGAGCGTTCAGTGAATGCCGATCCAGTTTCTGAACCTGTGATAGATTTACTATACACTCAGCATGTTCAAGGCAATTAGTATAAATTTCAACTTAAAATTAATTACTTGATCCCTGTGTGCAAGTGTATATATCCTATATACCATATTTTATTAAAATTCAAGATGATTTTTGGAGTAAGCTTAAAAATAACCATTTTGGGGATAAGAAAAAGAAACTCAGAGAGATGCACTGAATTATCTAAGCT